TTTTTTTTTTTTTTTTTTTTTTTTTTTTTTTTTTTTTTTTTTTTTTTTTAACAGAATAGTGTCCTTGAATGCAAATCTGTTCTACTACTGACAGTTTTAGAGCAGAAATACTGGGTTGGAAATATCACCAGGTACAAATCCAATTCCATGCTTTCTTAAATGAAAGAAACACAGTTTCCTTGTTACTTTTAATTAAAGGGAAGGAGAAAAGAGTCTAATTTCTTCTTTCCTTTGAAGTTAATTTTCACACCTTTCTGATAGTATAATTAAATTCATGTCACTTTAAGCGAATAACTTAAATCAATAAATTAGTTTTATAATAATCCAGTATCCCTTGAGCCTCACGCTGATAATTATCACACAGCTCTTACAGCTTTGAGTTCAGTGAATGAAGTGTTTTGAATGATTTGTTATTCTTAAATTCATAAGAGATAAAAATGCATATTATGATGATTTTATGCTAATCAAAAAAAAAAGTATTTCTGTTTCATAGATGCCATAGAGATGGTAAGATGTATTCACTGCAGCTCCTTGTTCACAGAAAATGGCAGTGTTTTTTACTTCATTGAACTATAGATGAGGCATGTATGAAAGAATAAAGGAGAGCTCCTTGGAAAAAGCAAGTGGCTGGATTATCCCTGATAAAGTTACTTGAAAAAATAGTAGGTAAAGTTAGTTTAAAGGAGACTAGTGTGTCTTTTCTTATGCCTATTTTGGCGAGTTGCAGCTGACAGTATGTTAAGTGGATACGATGTTTGGTATCACTTGATTTGGAACAGTTTGCCACTTGGAAAGCAAAACACACAAATATTTGCTTGAGATGTTAGTCTTGACTCTGTAGCTTCTACTGCAGGCCCATGAGGGAACTGGAAGGAAAAAATATGTCTTCTGTAGGTTCATATCTAAGGTACAGGACCACCTATAATAGTAGTGCTTTGTTTGCCTATTGAATGTTTGCACAGCTGGAAGAAATTCTCTCTCTTGGAACTTTTGAATGATTGATTCATTTTCACTCAAAGCAGTGAAGATATGCATTTTAGTGAATTTGTAGTGTCTGCATGTGTGTGTGTGTATATATATCTATATATATAGTCTTGTAAGTATATAAATAATAAAAGTAATATGTAGTAATTAGGAAAAAAAAGTCCAGTTATAAGCCAACTGGTTATAAAATACCAAAATTAGTCTCTGTCCTCTGTGGTTTTGACTTTGATACTGCTTCTGCTTGTCCATGTTAATCTGTAAGCTCTTCGACTGCAGAGCACATATTGTGGAATGCTAAGTATATGGTCAATATTACCAAAAATGAAACAGTTCATTGTAGTTCGGCTAATCCCTGTGAAACCATGTCAATTTATAGAATGGGGGCCACATTTCACTTGTTGTAGGCCCCGAGCCATTGTGAGTCAATACATCGAGATTTTCCAGAGAGAATAAGATTTGCTGGTCGTCTCCAACTGCATTTGCTTTTTCATCAGATTTATGCCATTAAACATATTGGTTCTGTGACTGAACACAGACCAGMGTGCTCATCGTTACAGTTAGTACTGCAGAGATGTGATATGCGAGTGATGGACTTCAGAGTTCTTGGTGTCAAGTAAGAAAAAGGTTTTTTTTCTGTATAAAAGTACACACAGCCTTACTGGAATGAAAAGGGAGCCATATTCTACCCACGAATAAAAGCCTACAACAAAGCTTATCTCTTCTACCAGGTGTCACTTTGAAGCATACATACTAATGAATATACTGGAACTAAATCGTGAGAGAAATGGTTGAACAGGAGCTTGAAGGAGTGATTGCCAAAGGTAATTAAAGTTCTTAAGGTTGCTTAGTAGTACATCTCGTAAAGTATTTGAAAAGTGAAATTGTTCATYTATTACCATTTGTTGAGAAAATCACTGCATTCAGATTGCTGCATTTTTGTCCCCTATGTCTTTGGTTAGTCTATCACCAAAATAATGCAGGCAAATAAGAGAAAAAGTTTATACTACCCGTTACCACAGTTTAATAACTAGCATATAAATATAGTTGTAGCTATCAGATAATGTCATCAATGCGACAGATAATGTAATCACAATACTTTTCTCACTTTGCCCATTCCAGTTTACTGATAGGAACTTTTTTTTGTCATTCATCTTTTATTATTTGCTATTAGTATTATCACAGCTCAGCTCTCTTTGAATGATAAGGTTGCTAGTTTTTAATTAAGATGAAATTTAGAGTAATCAAAACCTTGTTAAATTATAGGCTTCTGGTTTTTAGTATGGGGAGGGGGGAAAAGGGCTACTAAAGGAGGCTAAACAAACAAACAAGACCCTCAAAAGTACATATTCGTACCCAGAGAAAAGATTATTAGATTTTGTTTGAATGCTTTCTGCCCTGATCAATAGTAGCCCTTAGTTTATTTCATCTTTTTTTTCTCTCTACTTTTTTACAATATTTTCAAAAGTAACATAACTTTTAAAAGTAAGAAAAAGGGTTAAAAACACAGAAAAACATATCCTGAAGAGTGGGGAAAAGACTTTCCTTTTCCAGCTGCTCTAAATAAAATTCTGCCCCCATATACCGTTTTGTTTAAAGATGTTATAGTTCAGAGAACTATAGTTCAGAGAACTATATTTCCTGAGAAATCAGAGAAACTTCTTATTTCCTTTGCAAAATGAAGTTCTTAAAATTTTGTGCTTAATATTTATAGGAATGATTATTTGGTTATGAAAGGTGGAAATTTTTGATTCTATTTCTGTTGCTCCCAAGTGATCTTCAACTGCCTTTACTGTTTATTTTTATCTTTTTAATTTTTTTTTTTTGTGAAGCCTGATTGGGTCTTGCTCATCAAAAGCAAATATTTGGATTGTTTTGTGGCAAATTCTTTACCAGGTACTTATTCGTACTGGATTACCAATAACTTTTTAAATTTACTTATGTAAGTCTGATTTGTCTGAGTTTGATAAGCCACTTGATCTATTGCCATAATGCTATTAGAAGGTAGTGATGCATTCAGAAGTGTATGCTACTGGGATTTCAGGAAGGAGAAAACAAAAGAACCAGGAGTTATATGAGAAGGGTTACCCAGAAAATGATTGACAGAYGATATTAAAAAAATAAGGCTAAGAAATATTTCTTTCCCCAAATTTTTAATGATATTATCCTGATTTTGAAGATAYTTGGCTACTTTCTTTGACAATTCCATAACATTTTTTTAAAAAAAAAAGCCTTAAGATTTCCGTCAGCAAAATTTCCCTTTGATATTTGAGAAAGCTCTCTGAATCTTAATTGGCTTGTGATAGCAAAGTCTGAAAAATTACATGGGTAGTGGGCACAGAGGTGCAGTATCTTACMTGCCTAATGTTGTGCTGTCAAATGTATATTATCAAGAACAACTTTTTYGCCATTTACAAGGGAAAGGAATGTTTCAAAGACAGGCTAATGGCAAGCAAGCTGTGTACAATATTAGTCAAATTRTGAAATTGCTGCAGTAATAATGGTATTACTTACTAGCACGTGAACACAGTAACTTTCTTCAGTACGCTAGGGAATGAATTATATTCCTTTGCTGCACCTCCTACCTCTTCCAACTCGAGTGTCTGTAAATACCAAAACCTGCTTGCTTGGAAGTAATTCATGTTCAAAATTAATTCTCTATAGTAGTATCTGACAAGTGAATGTGGATTTGATAGACTCTATTTATTATAACTTGTATAATTTTTTTTCAGGTCAGCAGTTTTGCCTGTGCCAGTGCAGCCCTTGGGAAGGGTTTCACAATCAGGAAGATTGATTAGGCATATGGCAGAATAGCACAGCTATTGAATTCCTTTCCCTCAACTTCAGCTGAGGCGAGAAGAAAAGCGCTTTAATTCCAGCAATTATCTAGTTTTAATTGAGAATGGTAAAGGGATTGCAAAGTGTGTTTTTTATTCTTGTTACACTTAATTCTTGCGCATGTTATGTTTGCCTTAYTGTCACGTGTGGTGATTTGTAAGGAGCTTTGGTGTCTGTCTGGCTCTACTGCAAATCATTAGCAGTTGCTTAGCAGGAGTTGGTAGTGTCACCTTATCATGATGTGCCTTTGGACTGAAAATCCAGCAGCTGGATTCAAATAGATGAAAGAGAAGAGAGAGTGTTAGCTAAGAATCGGTATGGAAAATGTAGCAGGAATTCTAGTTAGTACTGTTATCTTCCTAAAAATTCCTGTTCTTCATCATTTCCTTAAATTCTCTGCTGTAAAGTGTTAGTAATGAAACACGGCTCATAATTTATATACTCTGTAAGATCCTTGGATCTATGAATGTTGCATTTGTTTACCCGAGGCTTTCCGATGTTGTTTTAGCGCTTTGGCGTGGGAAAGAGCTATTTCTCACTGCAGGTGGATGATTCGAATGAACTGCAGTTTGTAAACAATCAGGTGTATGTTTTTTCTAGTGGCAAGCTATCTTTATTGGTGGTCAGCTATAGTTCTGAGGGGAGAGTTCTATAGTAAATATATATATAAAAATACATATTTGTTACAATCAACTCAGTTTTCTCTAAGCAGATTGTCTGATTTGTCAGTTAAGCATAACATATATGCAGGAGCACTTGAGTCCCTACTGAGCTCTGGATCTGGCAGATTTTGAGCCATTTCAAAGATATCTGTAGTGGCTCCAGAGTTGTGTAGAATATACTTCATATCTTCATCTTGCTCCTTCTTTGACTAAGTCTGTCAACCATCAGAAAAACTGGCCTATGCAATACAAGAAAATRTAAATTTTCTCTACAGTAAATTTTCTTTCACAGTAGATAAAACTGTGCAGACATTGCTATTCCTTTGTAYGTATTTACATTTTTCTATTTATAAGTATGACTACTGTTTATTGTGTTGGATCTAGTCGTGGATCAAAAGCAAAAAGTACACTAGGGAATTGTAAAAACACAATACAAGGAGGGAGGAAGAGAACTGTCTCAACAAGCTTTCAGTCTATACAGGCAGAAGAGCTGGCAGGTAGCTATAAACAGGTGGAGAAACACAAGAAGTCAATGAGAAAATATTTGTAAGAATAAGAGATCTTATTGGCAGCAGCCTCACCTTGGTCAATTTTTGGCATAGAAAAATAGAGTTTTAAGGGCAATAAAGGAACATGAGGTTTCTGGAGAGCTTTTCTTACTCATGGGAAATATTAAGGAGRAAAGCACAAAGATTTTAAAACAATCAATATGAATTGGGCAATGRAATAGGTTGTCAAGAGTAGATGCTAGGCAATAATCAAAGACTAAGTAGAAAATAAGTAGTGAAGGGCCTTGAAAAGAAAAGCAAGTAAAAAGATATTAGTTTAGACATGGAGAACAATTTCATAAGTAGAAGCCAAACTGAAGAATAAAACTGAAATTTCAAACAGCTACAGAATATATCCTTACTTAAAAATAAAGGAAATTCTTACTTAAAAATAAAAGAAATAAAATCTTAAAAATGAAAGAAATAGTAATGGAGGAGACGCAAGAATTATCTAGTTGATGCAATCCAATTGGATTTCCAAAACACATTCCACCAAGTTCTTGATCAAAGAATTCTAGGGAAAATAAACAATGGYAGTATAAAAAGCAAACTTCCTGAAGAGATAAATATTTAAAAAGTAGAAAACAGCATGTAGGGGTAAATAGTCAGCCCTTTCAGTAGAGAAAGGCTTCCTGAGCTCTAGCAATCTGCACTGGAGTATTTACTTAACATTTTCATAAATTGCTTGCAAAAGGAAGTGAGCTATGAGGAGAAAAAATTCCTGATGATACTGAGTTATTCAGATAATAAAGACAAGAGTTGAGTATGGAAAATTGTAAGAAAACCTTACAAATCTGTGTTGTGTAGTACAGTGACTGATAAGTTCAATGTGGATAGTTATAAAGCAGTGTAAATGGTGAAAAATAAATTTAATTTCACATATAGAATGAGGGCTGTTGTAATTCAGTACTGGTACCTTGGAATCTCGTTAGATAGCTCTCTGAAAGTATTAGCAATAATAAATAATATGCAGAAAACCAAATTTAGTGCTAGGAATTATTAGGAATGGAATAGAGAAGAGTATTTTGTATTATAGAAATTCATGCCTGGTCTGCACATATGCTTCTGAAAAAAAAAATATAAAAGAACCTGAAAAGTTTTAGAAAAATGATAGGAATGACTAAATATTTCCATTCATGGAATGACAAAACTCCAGTCTTCCGAACAAGAACTGTGGTATAATATTTAGTATGTTACCAAAGAAGCTGGTTACCAACCAATTGTTCACTGTCTGCTTGAAGGAGTGTACAAGGAAGTTTGGAAAGAGCTTGAYATCACAGAGGGTGAAATCTTGAAACAGGAAGTTCTCTGAGAAGGTGTTCTCATTAGACACATCAAGGGAAGGGGGGAAAAAAGAGGATCAAGTATTTCATACAAGAGGATGCATATACACACTTGAATTACATGAATTTGTTCATCTTGTATTTTAAATATCTGATTCTATTTTTCTGATTATGACTTTAGTTTTAAAAATGTGGATATTTTTAACAAAATCCCAAGACCTAATCTGCATACATAATTTAGTCAGAATGATTAGACCTTTCTATTTTCTAGACCTGGGAAATGTTCCCTTTATAGTCTAAATTTAATGGACGAAAAAGTGTTATAAAACTTTAAATGAGTTTGGCAATATCCTTCAAAGCACATCAAATGTTTGATTCTTTCAGAGCAAATATGAAGGTCACATTTAATAAAAACAGCTTTTCTATCAAATGTCAACCTGTTTTCAAGGCATAAATTGCTGCAATCAATATAGCAGATCTTTCCTGCTTTCTGACCCTCATACATAATCTAAGCACAAATTTTGGTGTACTTTAATCAACAAACAGAATAAATGCAAAACGACTTGTCCTGGGTGACTCAAACTTGTGTGATAATGAACTGTAGTGTATGTATGAGTCATTGTTCAGAATTTGTTATCAACAATGGGACTTGCTTGCTCAGATGAAAACCTGTCTTCGTCTTATAAACATCTTCAGCAAACAAATCTCACTGTGCAGTGTTTTGGCAACATATACCTACCAGCATTTTTGAACATATAGGAAATATGCATGCTTACTTTAAGAGTATTTTTTAGGTGTCTAAAATGTAAGTACAAGTTGAGTGACTGTTAGACATCCAAAATTAAAATAATTACCTAAAGAGTAACTTCATTACTAGTTTGATGGAAATGACATGAAAATACAGTGAGAAATGTTTGCAGTGGTCTTGACACATGCAACAAACCGAAAGACAAATATATGTGCCATATAATTACAGAGGCTATTTGTAATCCAAAAATTAAACAGAAGTGTGATGTGGAAAGAAGAGAGCAAGAGGAAGATGAAGACTTTGTCACAACTAACTGCAGATCCTTGCTGAAAGTCTGTGAAAGGTAGGAGAGATGCCTSTAAAGTTATTTGTAGGACAAGAGGCAATAAAATGAGTAGGATTGTATGTTCAAGGTATTATTGGACAAGTCAGTATCCTATTGTTACAGCTCCCTAACGATGACCCTGTGAAAGAATTTGACAACTTCGTTCTTTATTTTTATTGTAAGGTTCATAAAAACAGGAGTAATTTTTAAAAAACAATTAAAATTTTATCAAATTAAAACTCAAAGACAAAGTCTTTAGTACTTTTGATTAAATTTTGGCAGCAGTTCCTTTCTCTCACTGAATACTCTGAAAGGCCAGATAGATACATTGCTTTGAAACTATTGAAATGCTACTTGATAGTCAATGAACTTGACTTTTTTCTTCCATCAGCTTCAGTGGTGAAGCAGCTGTGTGTGGTTGGTTAGCCTGTGTATCCATCCCAGGCTGCCTTTGGCACAGTATGTGCAAGTGCATACACTACTGATCACATAAATGTTTCTTTTTATTACCAGTTTACTGATAATATTTATTACTCATAACTGGTAAGGCCTCACCTGGAATAATATTTCTAATTTGGGATACCCCCCAAGAGGCGAGATCTTGGAGGAAAACAGAGGAAATGATCTGAAAAAAAAAAAAAATAAATAAAAAAAAATTAAAGTTTGGCTTAGGCGGTATTAAGGACTGTGGAAAAACTGGGCCAGATAGTTTAGGAAGCTTGTTGAGACTTCAGCCATGGAGGTTTTTAAGGACATGTTTTAAGGACAAGTGGACGGTCTAGATGTTGTCTTGACTCTTTTACTCCACTTGTCTATGGTTCTGTGACACTGGATGAGTTGTTTCTTGCTGGTTATGCTTCATCAAAGTGTAAACTCACATGATTTGGGAAAGGACCGGTGAATTTGCCTGGTGCCTCACATACTGCATTCGTACTGCATATATCTGTAAAATGTCTAGTTCATTGAAGTAGTTAGGCTATGTTTGTCTGAAATGTAATTGAAGGCACTAAAATACCATTTCTGACATTTTCAGAGACTTTCTGCTGTTTTAAAGCACATTTTCATACAAGAACTCCTATTAGCARTTTCTCTCTCTTCTCCAGACTAATTAAAATAAGTCCTTTGGGACTGTTTCCAATGAGATTTTCAGTGTTATAAGTAGGAGAGATCTGTATTCCTTAGGACTTTTTCTTATCCAAAATTTGCTTATTTTTTGAAGAACTACTTCAGATGCCTTTGGAGATAAAAATGGATATAAAAGTCATTGCAGGTTAGAGGTCCAGTGCTTTAAGCACACTTAATTTTAATCTCTAGGTTATTTAATCTTAGATTCTACAGGGGAATCCTGTTTGGTTTTCAGCTTTGGATATAGAGATAACATGTCATCCTTATACTATTAATAGCCAAYGTAAATGTAAAATAAAGTAATAATGGAAAACATCCAAGAGAAATAAGATTTTGAAAAATGTCAAGTTTAGAACTTCTGATCTTTAAACAGGTTTTAGATTTTCTGGGTAAAAATGATTGACTTACTAGATAAGCCCTGGCAAGCAAAGCTTATTTTTAATAATAGTTCTCCAGCAATGAGGTCTTTAAAAGGGGGAGGTGAATAAACCTTTTATTTTTTTAGTGGCAGTACTTACTAAATCTCCTTCTTCCTGGTATTCCAGGATCAACAACTCAATGTTGATGTGTTTCCTTCAATAAGGATAGCAAACTTTTACTTCTAGAGTGAAATTTTTGCTTTTTGGCTTTTCAATGTGGTTCAAATGATAAGGTCCACATAATCTCTACTTTAAGATTTATTGGGTACATTTTGTCAACTTGAAAGCAGTTTAACTGCCTGTTCCTGAAAAATTGATTATGTCAAGGATTCTCTGTCAGTGGGCACATAGAAATAAGAGACTTYCTATTACATATTTGTCATCTTTCTTCCTTCAAATTCTGTCATTGATTCCTATTTTTCCAGCAACACATGAGAATGCAGAGGAAGGAGGTAGTGAATTATGCTCAGGTGGTCATTGTGTTAGAATCTGAAAATACAAG